GTTGCACTTAGAGTTTCAACTCTGCCTTTGCTATCATCTCTCAAATGTAGCACGTACAAGGACGGTTCAAAGAAAAAGGCATCCTGGCTTTTCTCCTGTAAGAAAGGAATCACAATCCCCATAGCTTTCACATGTCAGCAGAAGATGCAAGATGGAGGGCTCTTTTTGTTTGTATCGTCCGGGACCTGTAATATTAGAGATCTGGATTTGGGTTTGTTTTCACAAACCCCTTTCAAGTATGCAAACACTTACATGGGCACTTACCATTCCTGGTCATTATGCAATACCGGAAATGATAATTTTTAAATTCAGGTATGATGGTGATATTTACCAGGAATAGATGCTGACTTGCAATATCTATTCTGTGACAAGATACACAGGAAACCTGTGGGAACTGTAGCCTATCCTGAGAGATTGGCCAGGATCATTTAGGACCGGACTTTAAAGACCAGGGGTTCTTAACCTTTTTTTTTTTAATCATGGACCCCTTTAGCAGTCTTGTAAAGTCTATCTACCACTTCTCAGAATGTTATTAAATGCATAAAATAAAATACATGCATTACAAAAGAAGTCAATTATATTAAAATATAGTGGGGGCAGCTAGGTGGCTCAGTGGATAGAGCACTGGCCCTAGAGTCAGGAGGACCTGAGTTCAAATCTGACCTCAGACACATAACTAGCTGTGTGATTCTGGGCAAGTCACTTAACCCCAACTGCCTCACCAAAAAGCAGAAAAAAAAGAAAAAAGAAATATAGTTAGCAAAGTATTTTTAAAACAAGTTCATGGACTCCAAAACAAAAATCTATAAACACCATTCCCCCTTGTTTTTTCAAATGAAGAAACAAACTGAGAAAGGTAAGGTTACTTGACAAAACTGACACGAGGTTTAGTAGGTAGCAGGATCTAGATTCGAACCTGTGGCCCCTGGCTACAAATGGAGGGCCTCTACAGTCTTTCCTAGCAACTCCTTTTCCACACTCCCTATTGAAGGCACCTACTGCTGGGGGCAGAGGGGTGAAAAGCAGTTTAATACTCCAACTGAACACTCTCTGTCCCTTGGCCTTCTGATCTCATTCCCTCTGCAACTCCTCTGCTTAAATGCTGTTAAAGCAGAGGGAAATTCAAACCTTGATGACCTCCATTAGCACTCCTTTTCTCCCTCTTGACCCTCTGCCTCTTTGGGAGCCACAACCACCTCTCTCCAGGCCCTCTAGACCTGTGAGCAGCTAGAGGAGAAGCAAGAGAATAAAAGTAGGAGCTAAGACCAGTGGCTTACAAGTTTCCGCACTTTGCATCCAATAGTTCATTAATGATAATAATGGCCAATACACTGAGTTACACACTTTATAATTATTCACTCATTTCATCCTCACAACAACCCTGGGAGGCAGGTGCTATTATTATCTCCATTTTACAGATGAGGAAACTGAGGGTCAGAACAGTTAAATGACTTGCCCAGGAGCAAATAACTAGCAAATGTCGGACATGTCCCAAACATCCCCCAACATAAGCATCAGATCCACTTCACAAGAGAAACAGAGTATGATAATAGTAGAAAGAAAAGACTGGGGTGTGTGGGGTTGGGGTGGGGAGAGAGGGGATAGTAAGCTGTAGGGAGCCGATATACCTCTAATGATCCATGCCTCTGGCTCCCCTGAAGGGGCTCAGGTTTCCCTTATGGATTAACTAAGACTGTAATAACTTGAAAGGTTTTATATCAGGCTTCCATCTATTTTATGGGAATGGATCAAGCACTTCCTACCAGCATGTGAACTCAAGTAGGACTTGTGTAAGTTTATCTGAGGTCATGGTATTTTCTCTCCCCAAGCTGGCATGATATTGCAACACATGTGGGATGGTGAAGAGTATGTCCCAGAGAAGATAAATGCCTAACGTAGAGACCAAGTCTGGGTGCAGCTCCTATAAGGAATAGCACTACTAGCAATAGCAGAAAAAATAGACTGGGAAAATGCTGAGGATGTTAAAAAAATACTGAAAAGAATGGCTTTGGTTGAAGATGTTGGTATAATACCTTAATAATAAATGTGATTGAATTTTTAATAACAAGAGAACAAACTCTGATTCAGAACCAGCACTCTCCAGGGAGCTTAGAAATTAATCCTCTGATGGGATGAAGTTGTCACTATTATACATTCTAATTATAAACACATATTGTTTTTAATAATGACATCGTAACTCCTTTATTAGGGACCAAGATTGGGGATTTCTACTTTCTAAGCTACAAATCTCACAAGTCTTACCAGAACTGGAAAATATAAGGGAAAATTTGTATAAGAGGCTGAATGATGAAGAGGAATGAGTACATTGGACTTTGAATCAGGAGGACCTGAGTTTGATTTGAATCCCTGACACTAGCTACATGACATAGCTGAGTCACTTAATCTCTTTGAGCCTGTTTCTTCATCTGAAAAAAAAAGGTGGCTAATAACCCTCATAGGACTATTTTGAAGACCAAATAATGCTTAAAATGAAGCAGCTAGGTGGCACAGGGGTGCAGAGTGCCATGCCTGGAGTCAGAAAGACTCACCTTCTTGAGTTCAAATCTGGTCTCAGATACTTACTAGCTGTGTGACCCTGAGCAAGTCACTTAATCCTGCTTGCCTCAGTTTTCTCATCTATAAAATAAACTGGAGAAGGAAATGTCAAATTGCTCCAGTACCTTTGGCAAGAAAATCCCAAATGGGGTCACCGAGTCAGACACAGCTGAAAATAAAAAATATCTTAAAAAAAACTATAGAAATGGTAGCTGTATTTCTTTATGAAGATAATCATTCATCTGTTTAATGATTTAATTTTTATTTTATTTTATTTTGGTGAGGCAATTGGGGTTAAGTGACTTGCCCAGGGTCACACAGCTAGTGTTATGTGTCTGAGGCCAGATTTGAACTCAGGTCCTCCTGACTCCAGTACTAATTCTCTATCCACTGTGCCACCTAGCTGCCCCTAAAGGTTTAATTTTACAGTGGAAGAACAACAGTGTAGTGGGGGAAAGTACCAGTTTTAGAGTCAGAGAGCCTGGGTTTGAATCCTGGCTTTGTTTTATCCTTCCTCTGTGAACTTGGGCAGCCACTTAAACTCCCTAGGCCTTCTTTCCCTACCTATCAAATGAGATAATTGGATTAAAATGATGTTTATGGTCCCTTTTAGCTTTAGATTCATTCAATTTTAGCATATACTGAAATCTCTGGATTGTTCTAAATGTGTATTTTTAAATATTCCTCTCCTAAGCTTTTGAAGACTAGTTAACATTCATGCCAGATTATATTCCTAATGAGATTGGCAGAGCTTTGGATCTTTCACCCTTGATAGTGCTGGACACTGTCCTTCTCAATCTTAACCTCTCCCTTTCCCTTCATTGTATTCTCTCTTACTCGGGCTTTGATTACCCAAGTCAGACTAACTGCTTGCATCACTGATCCAAATTCCTTTGGGGGTCTCTTCAGGATGCTTTTCTTCCTAGTTTGAATTTAACAGCTGCTTGAGCAAATTCATCACTGTCTATTGGGAATTCTTCATTTGATTGTTACACATGCTCTGAGCATTCCTATCTTTTAAAAAAAAACTATTACTATGATTAACCCATTTTTCTATTTTTAGTACATTTCTAGGATCCTTGAATGCTACAACAGCATGGAGTCTAGTTTTTCTGCAGTTACCTGATAGGTCAGAATCCCTTCCACTTGACTTTGAGCCTAATACTCCTTAGATAAATTTCCTGAAGGCATTTAATCATTTTTGTTGCTGTTGTTAGCCAAGTAGAATGGCCTGGAATCTGTTTTGATTTTATATGTGCTTTGGCAACATCAAACACTTGGCATTTCCTCATGGTTAATCAGTTTAAGGCTTTCAGAGACTGAAATCACTCTAGTTGGGGCTCACTCTCTTTTCCTCTTACACGGTAAGAGTAAGGTTTTAAATGTCTAGAAACCTCAGGTAATGGAACTAGGCTTTTTTTCCTTCTGTGGCCCCTGGATTTTGGTTTCCTTATTCAAGCCTTGACTGTCATGTTTCTTATGATGACACAGACACCTGAGAGTCATTCTTTAACATTTCTGTCTAACAACAACCACATTTCTAAGTATTTAACAGGTCTCCATCTGGAGACCACATAATTGACTAAAAATGTTCAAAAGAGACATGATGTCAACTGGGAATTTCTAACCTATATGTATTTCAGAACTCTCTCAGGAGCAAATACTGACAATACCTCTGACGTTTCATTTCATCTTCCTTGCCACCTCCTCCCCCCATTAAAGTTGTCATTATCCATTTTTACCCAATGGTCCTGAAATTAAACAATCATTCTGATAGTAATCTGCTGCCTTCCTCCCCTCTTCCACGGCTCTTACTTAGGGTCAAATTCAGTGACATATTAGATTTTTTTTTCTTTTGTGCTCTCTCAGGATGAAATGAATGTTATTTAAAGTGCTGAACAAGTTACCTACTAACCTGAGGATTAGGCCTAAGCTGTTAGTTCTGGTACTTAAAATTCTTCAGGCAGTGACCCTATTAAAACAATCTCACTTTATCTGTACATATGCCCTTGAATTTATTTATTGACCAATGGCAGTCTTCTTGTGATGTGATTCGGGCTCAGTGCCATGTGGCTCTTTTCCAACTGGCTCCCATCTGGTAGAATGTTCTATTGTTTCAAGTTATGTCAAGTGAGCTGTTCAGAGCGCTCTTCCCGCTGGCTTTGACGAGCTTCACTTTGCTAGCTGTTCCTGCTGAATATCAGTTCATTTAGCACACAAAGTCCCATGTTCTAACTTCAGTAAGTGATTCAGGGGCCTCAAAGTCAACATTTTAAGCTCTCCAAGAGGTTTGCCAAGTCTCTGACTGAAATGCCTCACTCCTGGACTGGGACATTCATGTTTGGAAACACTCATGTCCCTAATGGGAAAAGTCATGTTACTCAAATAACCTTCAGGATCATCATGTCATTCACAGATTATAAATTCAATAAACACCAACTGACCTCTGTGTATGTGCGCCAGGGACAAGGAAACAACATGATGAAGACATGAATTCCAGGCACTGAAAATGTCCTCCTTCTTGGTCATTACCTGTCAAATTGACAGAAGGAAAATGGCTCCTTAAATAGTTGAGAATTTCTTTTTTCTTAAACTATTGCTGCTACCAGAATAATATATGCAGATAGAGTAGAACTAACTAGCTTATTTAAATGTAGACAGAGAATCCCCCAATTCTTGATATAACAGGCAACACAGTGGATAAACTGCTAGACCTGGAGTCAGGAAGGTCTGAGTTCACATCCAGACATATACTTCTTTAGCTGTGTAGCCCTGAGCAAGTCACTTAACCTCTGTCTGCCTCAGTGTGCTCATCTATAAAATGGGCAAAATAATAGCATCTACCTTCCAGGGTTGTTATGCGGGATAAAATGAGATAATATCTATTAATCATTTTGCAAACCTTAAAGCTCTATATAAATGCTAGCTTTAGTAGTAGTAGTAGTAGTAGTACTAATAGTAGTAATAGTAGTAGTAGTAGTAGTAGTAGTAGTAGTAGTAGTGGTGGTGGTGGTGCTGGTGGTGGTGGTGGTGATGGTGATGGTGGTGGTGGTGGTGATGGTGGTGGTGGTGGTGATGGTAGTAGAAATTATATGTTGCCATAGTAAACAATAACAATATCATTCTGGAGCATGGGTTCTTGGGAGCAACTGTTTGATGGTTGAATTAACTGACTTTAGACTAGTTCTACCTGTTTGTTAATTGTTACTTGCTAGACTGTCCCATCTCAGGAACTGGGCAATTTATCATCCAATTATTCTGTACACAGTGCCATCTTAATCATGTGGATCAAGACTTCCAGGAGTTATTCATTCAAAAAAGATTTATTGAGTGCCTACCTGCTATGAAAGGTACCATAATAACTGGGGTAGCAAAAAGGGAAAAAATGTGAGTAGAATAGATAAAACCAAAAGACACATAAAGAAAGGGAGATATATAAAACCACAATCACTAGTGTAAGCTAAATATCCTCTGGAAGTTGCTGGCTGATCCTTAAACCAGGCAGACAGTCAACAGACCTGAGAACAAGAGAGTTAGATTTGGAATTTCTGACTTTGTACCTTGTGACTTCCTATGACAATCTCAGGAACCTAGCATTAGGTTTATGTATTCAATCCAAATTGAAGAGTCTACTACATGTGAAACAGCATGCTTGGCCTTAGAGATACAAATGCAAAAATGAAGTAGTCCCTGACCTCAAGGAGCTTACAGTTTACTAGGGATATAAAAATGTTTGGCCTGCATTATTAGTTTCTTCTTCATTAAGAGGAGGGCAGTTGAAAGTGAATGGCCATGTAGGAATTGTTTGGTTCTTGCTCTTCTATTTTGTTCAATGCTGTTAATTGTAAAGGGTGTAAGAAATAAAGAGAAAACCTGTTTTCTTGCATTTTTTGTGATTTCTGCAGCATGCCTGATGCAACAACTTTAGAAAAGCCCTAGGTATAACTAAGGTGTCTTTGTGTTCTGATGAGCTATAGTGCCATTTTAAAGTCTCCAGTATATGTATAATGTGTATGTATGGTAAGGTAGGTGGAACAGTTTTGAGGACAATGCCATTTTTTCCCCACAAGTCACCTTCTGCTCATGACCCCTTATGTTAAAGTAGAGGGAGTGATTATCTCTGTCATTGCTGCTTGGATTAATATGGTTCCCTTCGTCACCAATTAAAACTAAAGAAGAAAGGGGAAGAGAAGTTGGCCATTTAGGTAATAGGCCTGCAAAACACATTGGCAGATGGGGGTGACCTGTGGTTGGCTACCAATGCTTTTTGAGTTTGGAGAAAGAGAACCTTGACATCCCCATCACATTTCTCAATATAATACTGGGAAATTCAAGCTTGTGGTCAATTAGAAGTGTCTCGCCTGAGAATATACTTTCTTAATTTGCTGCTGCCAAACTGGGGGTGGGGGGTGAGGGTAAGAAGGGACAAGAATAGAAAGGGGGTAGTATATATGAGAGACAGGGAATGAAAAAAAAACCTGTTCAAATGTTTCCAAATAAAAACAGGAGACTTTTATACTCAGTTTGCAGAATGAGCTTTCAGTGGACTGACCATGAGAAAATTAGCATCAGGAGAATTGCATAGGGAATGCAGAATGCTGCCCAGGGAAGGGGCTTCAGATGGGGAAAACTCTACCGAGGTCAATAACATACTGAAAGCTCACTGACTCCATCCCAAGAAATAGTACAAGGGGAAAAAAATGTTCCAATTAAGGGCAATGGCCTCATAAAGGCCTGCCAGTCGTTTTCTAAGTGCTTTTCCTTATACGTTAACATCAATATTCTTTAAGACCCCACTCAAGTTGATTCAATATAACCTCATCAGGGTTGGCAATCATCCATGTGTGGTCATGAAAGCAGTCATTACTCAGTGCTGGAGAAGGGAAAGAAAGGCTTGGCTCTTACACTAGGTTTATACTTGGCTAAGATGATCCCCATTGCACAGGGAGGCTACTGACAGAGAAATTGGACTGTCCCTTGAGTTCAGCTCTGTCTACAGGCAGTGAACAAATGCCTGTAGGCAATCCATACATTTTGGTCTTGATAACCGATATGGATTGCCATGTGATTGATTTGGCTCTGGTAACCCATGCCAATTGGAAAGTGGATCTAAAGGAATGGGTCATCATGACTACTGTCTGATTTCATTCCACAGAACCTCACTGTGGAATGTATCACTAGCTGTAGTTTTATTACAATTAAGGGACTGTGTATGTGAGGCCATCAAAGTAGTTAAGTATATAAGAATATATGATAGTGTTATTAGTGAAAACCTCCAGTGTTTAGAAAAGGAGAACAAAGACTTTTTAAATTCAGTATAGGCAGATGTCACTAAAACAATAAACACTTCAGTGGATATGTAATGTCATCAGTGCGGATTCTCACCCTCCACTCACATAGATGATAACTTATTTATGCCCTTTCAATCTATGTGATTGTGTCTTTCCACAAATACTTCTTAAAGAATCCATTCAAAATGGCGAAGGCCTTCCTGTGGTTCTTATAATATGTTGAGGCTCCCAGATCAGTGCTTGGACTTGTTTGTCTGTTATCTTTCCTAAATACATGCTGGTCCCTCCTCCTTTGTCCCTTATGATATGATGCCTTCTATGTCAGCACAAGTTAGCATTGTTTATATAGTGCAATCTGCTTATCTCCATCATGCATCATTCCATTGCTCTGTGGGTCATCTACAAATGGAATTCGTTTGAACTTATGGTGCTCTATGATCTGCAGCCGTAACTTAGAAAATGCTGGTGTTGAGCTTTTGTGGAAGCGAACAGCTTGAAATCACTGAAAGAGCTCCCTAGTTTTCCAGCTAAAATTCAACCTAACGTCCTTCTATCCGATTTTTGGCCTTGCTAATCATTCAGCAATAGCACATGCCTATGATGTAGTTGTTGATGGACTAACTCCATGGGTTGTCTGCCCAACTTCATGTCATAATCTTGGCAATATGTATTCTTCACCTCCTTTATTTGTCCTTTGTGTATGGCTAGATTGATTTTTTGGGGATGACCATAGATCTCATGGAGAAGACCTTGCAGTGTTTTAGAGTTCAGTGCAACCAAAAAAACAAGACAGTCTCCAGAATCTGTCAGTAGGGAATTCGTCTTCTTCTTAGACTTCCTACAAGATTCCAAAATGAACTAGAAAAAGTCCTGAATTCTTTGTTCGAGAGAATGTCTTTGATGAGCATATGTCATCCTGTTGGATACCTTGCTTGATACTGATATTTAGTGGATCATTGAACAAAGTGACCTTGGTGATCACACCTCACATGAAATTTTGCATGATTTTACCATGTGCATGGACTATGTTTTATTTGAGGAGAGTTTATACATATTTTGCTCTACCAAGTCAAGTTCTGTCTCTCTTTCTCTCTCTGTTGTAACTGACAAATAGCAGACACAGTAAAGCAGGGAAGTGATGGATGTGAATCTTTAATTCTTTAATTTTTAATTCTTCACACTCATGAGCAAAGATGTGGTTTGCTACACAAAGCTGTCTACAAAAGTTTTATTTCTTTCTTAGATTTTCATCCAAAATATCCTGGATGTCTGCATAGGCCATTCTCATAAAGATTTACAAAAAAAAAAATTTTTTAATAGGCAAAGGAATTGGAAGTTTTAGATCTTCTTTTGGTCTTCTTTTGGTAATAAAACTTGTTTGTGATTCTTTACATTGTTTTGGAACCTTCCACACTTGGAGATGTCATGAATATCGATCCATGAATGTCATTAAGATTTTTTTTTGCCACCAGGGTGGGATTTTTAGATACATCTTTGTTGTAGTCCATCAGTTCTCATAGGCATCTTAAATGCCACCATCGCTTCCTCTCGTTGTTCATTAGGTACTAAAGTGGTAGAATCCAAATGCAGTAGTTTCCTTTCCATTGCTGATGAGGCTAGGTCACTATAGAAACACCACTATACCTGCTCTGTCTCACCTTTATTTAATGCCTTCATTCTAGTATCTTCTATAAATGTTCTCTAGTAGGTTTAGTTTAGCTATCATGCCAAAATCTCTGGGGACTCACTTTCCCCATAATGCTTTTTATTGCTTTGTAATATTGCTTATTTTTTCTACTCTTTCCTACTTTACGATGTTTTACATATGATCTTGTACCCTAAACTGGCATTGCCATTGGATGACATTTATTTATTCTTAACAAGAAGATCAAATGTTTGATGGCTGACAGAGTTTCTGGGCTTTTGGAGGAGTTGTGTTGTGTCAACTGTTTTGTATCAGCTAGACTTTTCGATGAAACAATGATAATCAAAATAATTTTCTTCACTTTTGTCCATTTTCCAGTTTTGGAACTGACAGCTTATTTAAGCAGGTGGGGTTAAAGTTACTATAATCACATTTCCCCCTTACATTTATTCTTTTGTTTCTAATTTGGTATTGATTTTGATCTTTGCTATAACCATTTCCCTGAGCTGAGTGAACAAAGGAAGTAGATTTTGAAATGACTGCCACGTCGGTAACTAGTCATTGTCTGTCTATTAAGATACAGTCATTTTCATCTT